GGCCGCGTTATAGAACGGCGAAAACTAATTTATCGCGTACCGCTAGTTGCCTGAACGCAATTAATTAGTAGCGCGGATGCGAAATTTCGACGTGACACGCGCACGATGGTCCCCAAAAATTGGTAAATTTCGATGCCGAAAGTAACGCTCCGGTCAGCCACGTATATTGCGAGCGACGCTTCCCCATTTTTACGGATTTTTCCGCGTAAATATCATGCATAATAAAGACGTCAATATTCGCAAAAAATTACACGAATCATTTTTCACTCTTTTCGTTCAAGTAAAATTATTTTTTTATCCTCTTGATCGAGGCAACTCCACTATTCGCGAAACTTGGAAAAAAATGCATTTTTGCATTATGAAGAATAAACATTGAGGTCTATATGAATGCGTTTAAAAAAATGTAATAACATAATAAATGTTATTCCAAACTAAAAAAGAGAACAGTTTTGATATCCACTGTGACATTACGTAAAAGATATCACTAACGCTATCGGTGAATATACCGATAACCTTAATCAATGCGATTAATCAGTGTCACGAGACTGGGCAATCGCAGGATCGCGATGGCCATTCGCTCCCGCACGCGTTTGGACATTTGGTCGACAGATTCGACCGGGAGGGAATCAATGGTGGATTATCGTGGGTTGTACAAGGTGGACAGATACAGCGTTGTGAGAGGCGGGAGTGCGAGGAAGACGCGGTTCATCGACATCGCGACGAGAGAAAGAGCGATGAGGAGAGAGTCGGGGGAAGGGAGAGGGACGAGATGGGAGAGGAGGAGGAGAAGGAGGGGGGAAAAGTGGTCCCGGCATGTATTTTCGGCGGAACCCTCCTGCCGGCGCGAGCGAGGGACGTTTCGACACGACCGACAATTCCGACTCCGAAATGCACTCCGGACGGTCGTTTACATAGCTGCATTAAAAAAGGCAAGGAAGAAAAAAAAAGAAAAAGGGAGAAAAAGAAGGATAAAAACGACTGATGTTGGACGACATATTAACGGCGCCATATGGTGTTTGATAAGCGAGGACTCGTGGCTCTCGTCGATTCCGAACGTAGGCGCACCGTTCGACCAAATTCCTTGCGTAACGATCGAGTTTTTACAGCTGCGTGCTTTCGTAACGCGGAGGAACGCGGCGGCGGTTCTGCCCGGCCCGCTGAGGAAATCATCATTGTCATTTCGTGTCAAATGTCCGCGTGTGGTCCTATCGATTTTTACTTGGCCGATTATTACGTACGTTACTGCATTATCGCAATTACACGGAAATAATATCGCATCGTAACACACCAGCAGTAGCATTAAATATGCGATGCAACCCTGTGCGCGCGCGCCATCGAGCGTCGCCACGCTGCGTTAAACAAATCACGCAGGACACCCCCACAGGCGTGCGCGCGCGCGCGCAAAACGTGCGTATGTCGGCGTGAATTTCGACGACAGGACATCTCCATAAAGCGGCGCGCAAAAAGCGATTAAAATGCTTTCACGGCGCGGCCGATGCGCGATCGCTCCCTCCGACGCGCGAATACATTTTTGTAATTACGGCCGGGGCGGCTTTGCATATGCGCGATCGGGGCATGAGCGAGAACGAGAGCGAGAAATAGAGAGAGATAAAAAAGAGAGAGAGACACCCCTTGCTGTATCCGCCTGCGTTTTCGCGCTCCACGCTGGCGCGAGGACTTTTCCCGTCGGCGGTGACGTCGACGTCGCTGTCTCGCGCGTTCGCGTTGCCAGAATCGCCCCTGGGACTCGCGTAAGTTGACTTCTTACGCGAGTGGTGGTGCGCGGATACTCTGAGTCGGGGTTGTACGGGCGTGTAGGTTAGGTTGGGGCTAGATTCGGGGTTGGTTCGGTTTTGGGGTGTGTGCCAGTCAACGGGGGATGTATTCCACGGCTAAACTCACCCTTCTTCTCCCGGCGGTTTCCTCCCTGCCTCTCGACCCTCTCTATCCCTCCTCTCTTTCTCTCTCTCGTGCGCGTGTTCTCTCTCTCTCTATCTATCTATCTCTCTTTGCACCCCCTTCTAACCCTCTCTCTGTCATTCCGCCTCACTGTCAGGCGTATACACACACGCGCGCAAACAGGCACGCGTATGCCTCTGAGAGCGCGTACGTGTGCAGCCAAAGCCCTCTCACTTCGTCCCTCTCGCTCTCTCTTGGTTCTTTCAACCTCTGTACACCCCCGCGAGGATCAATACGAACCAGTGGTTATCGTGCCGATACTCTCTACGCTCGTCGGCCAAGCCCCTCGAAAAGATTTCGGAAATCGGTGGGGAAGGCCTAGACCCTTTTTAAGCGGCAATAATTCCACGGCAGAATTGTCGCGCGGGGGATGACTCGGGAAAACCATCCCGCCGCTGTAATTAGATTCAGAGGTATGTGTCTTAAGTTGATATTGATTGTAAGGGATAACACAGACGAGCGCGCTTCCGTGCTCGCGCTAGCTGACGATCAAGCAATTGGGAAAGTCCGCGGAAGTTGGATTTGTAATTTTAATAATTGTTTCCTTCGGGGGATCTCGTTCGCGAGAGAAATGAGACGTGTGCACACCCACATAACACACACGTACACACAATTAAACGTCCTGAGCTTTCGCGGCGTCGTTACGTGGCCGGGTTATTTTGCGCGGCAGTGAAATAACGGAAACAATTTTTGAATGCCCGCGGGATTCGAATATCGCATCGTAATTAAAAAAATTTAATGAGCGCGTGTCCCTTCCGCATGCCGACGTAACTTAGCGTGGAAACAAAGTTACGCGACGGTGAAATTCACGTCGATACGTTCGACGACGGACACCGCGAGCGCTAAAAAAAAGTGCAGACAAAGAGGAACGGCAACATTGTTTCATCTTGACAATGATTCTCGCCGGAGAATTCATTAAAAATTTTAATTAGCGACGCGTTTCGAATACACGCGACGATGCCTGACGAAGCAACTGTGCGAATTAAGAGAAACGAAAAAAAAGGAAGAAAAGGAAAATATGCACAGCGCGGCGAACCGCGCGGATATAGACGCGTGAAACTTCGGTCTAAGCTTTGTGATCTCATTAAGTCGTCCTCGCGAACGTTTACTCGAGCGACTTATATCCACTCTATCATCGGCAACGCCGATAATAAATTCACTGGACACGAGCGACTATCGACGAGAGAATTTTCCTTGGAGCTCGCCGGGAGGTAAACTTATTAAAAGAGGAGAGAACGAGGGATCCGATGAGACACGGTGCAGCGTGATATGGAAATTTAGAGGTCACATCGCCGGCCGGACTGTGCGTTCCGCCGACTTATGGCCGGCGCTGTATACACGTGACGGAGAATTACGAAGAATTTCTTTTGTCTTGTTCCTTTTTTGCTAGACGACGGTTTTTCAGGGATCGCCTCAGCGCACCCAATGATAGCAGTGCATTCAGCATGCAAATTGCCGTAGCGATTCGCGGGATCGAGCTTTGGCCTCTAATGACGCGCGATTACGCGTCACGTTATCGCGAGGTAACTCTAAATTAATCGGACACGCGTCACTCGCTGTCGGCGCAAGTTCTTCCCGCGGCTTCGCTTCGCAACAGAGTCTCTCTCCTGTCCGTGGTATTGTATAACTTAGACAATTGTATAATTTAGCGCGTCTATAAAACTCAAAGCGCTTATCAATTATAAATATAGTTCGCGCAGCGATCTGAAACGCGGCTGCCGCCGCGAGAGTCGTAGTTCCTAACTATTTCTGTCTCATTACTTATAGAGACTGTCCTCTGTGCCGGTGACATCTACATGAATCGGTAAGCTTCGGGTGCTTTGCGCTTTTTCCCGTTAAACCTTCTGCTCCATCAGACCCGTGGTTCTAATGTTTCGTGGTATAGCAGCACGGGAGAATATACAATATACAATCGGGAGAAAACAACGAACTACGTGTTTGTGTAACGCTTGTCAGAAGAGTTATAGAACCGACCGACTCGCGGCATCATTTCGAGGAACATTTCCGAGTCGAAATTTTACCTCCGCATTGATTCTGCAAGTTCCTCCTAACTTGAAGAACCATTGTAGAACTTTCAAATTTTAATCATTAACTAATTACTTACCCCGTATTCGGTGTATAGAATGTATATGTGTATAGAATGTGTGAAATAAGCATATATTAAACCCTTTGCACTCGAAAGGCGACTCTCAGTCGCCATTTGGTTTGATGTAGCAACTCGAATGGCGAGTGAAAGGCGACAATAACTGCTTATGTTTGATGTAGATAATACTGAAATACAATAATGCTATCCTTTAATTTATCTATGTTTGCTTTTTGTTAGCTCTAAAAAATTTTATCAATTTTTTATCAAAATAGTTTCAAGTTGCTAGTTTCTTATAACGGAAAAATTATCGAGAGCAAAATAATATGAATAAATAATGGGGGGAAAGAGTTAATAAATCAATACTTTCTTTTTTGTTCATAATTCTTTCGACGTTTGTTCTTTCGACGTTGCAAATTCCGATGGAATTTAAAGTTCTTAAAAGAACTGATGGAAAAGCTGCAGAGACAAAAATAACAGTTATGTCTAATAATGCTGTATACATTAAGAGATTTAATTATAATAATAATGAAAAGCAGAAGCAAAAAGCAGACGTTAGCAAATATCAACAAAGTGCGAAAAAAGCGTAAAAAGCGATTATTAAGCATTATTAGTAAGCGTTAGCACTTGCGAGAAATATAGTATACTTGAGGCTGATATTCATAGTTGTAAATTATTTATTATTCTTGATTAAGAACGCAATTAATTATAGATTCGTATTCATGCGTCGTTACTCGGCTGTTTGAATCGATATCTCATGTGATATAAATAAATTAAGTGTCCGGCTTGATAAATAATCAGAGATTCCTGAACTTATGACTGTCAAGCTACAATTTGACCAACGAGATGACAAGCTACGAATATCGATCTAAATTTCGACTCGGGTTTCTCCTTATACTCGGTAAAATCATCGATTAAAATCGGAAATCTCCTGCGTAATATAAACGATCTGACATACCTGAATATACATGATGTATCGCCGACCACGTCACCGCGTCTCGCTTCCTTCATCCTGACTCCCGATCCTGCTCCCGTCATGTCACTCCGGATATATTCACTTGTGGCACTGACACTCGCGATCGTAGAAAAGTACTGAACAACGCGCGACGCCGCGATAAAGAGAGAGATTAAATGGTGCAAGAGCCGACAGATTGTTCTAATCACCCGACGGAAACGATAACTGGGCGCGCACCGACACACGTGCCACGTGGTATGCGTGTGCTCGCCGACTCGGAATACAATGAAACACTCGGAAGAGTATGCGACTCTTCTGTACGCGTCCGACCGTCTTGAGGGCCCGGAATGTTTTGAAAGCGCTGATAGTGTGATCACACTCGTTGTCGCCCGCGATGGTGGGGGGCAACGACGGTTGGCTATCGACGTGGATGACGCAGCCCTTTTTGCCTATTGTTTTGATACTCTCGCGCGCGTTGCGTACTGTTCCGTGACCGAGATATACAATATTTGGGAGAGTGTGAAAATCATTTATTCTCTACGCAGGATATTCGATGTTTTTTAACTGACGTTTGACAAATTTGCCGAATATAAGGGAATGCCCGAGTCTAAATTCAGGCTGATATCAATAGCTTACCGTCATTTGACGAGTATATTTATTATACTCGTCAATTAGTATAGTAATTGTAGCTTCATTGAATCTCCGATTATGAAATAATTTATAATTATGAATGCCGGATTTAGATCTCGTAAATCTTGCAAGTGCTATTTCTTGCGTCTAATAATGCTCCTTGGATAGCAAGTTGCATGCGGAATATTGACACCTTCTTTTCACCTTTTGTTAACAATCTTGTTGTTGTATCAAATCTAAATTAAAATCTCTATTGGTTTAAGACAGCATTAATGGGCATCCAACTGTTATCTTTTCTCTGACTTTTCTCTCTTTACGTCTTTTTAATGTCGAAATCCCATTGAAATTTTCAATGGTGATATAAATAACAAAATAATTATGAACAAAGAAAATTAGAGTCGCGCTTGATTCATTCATCATTCATATTGTTCACCTATATTAATTCTTCAATATTTGCTTATCTTACGCAGTTGAACGAGTTATATAATTAATATATTGCTCAATGAAATTAAGAATAAATGCAAGTGAATTATTGAGATAATTAAATATTAAATAATTCCGAAATAAATCTTTCTTAAATTATTGAAGAATGAATAAAACGTTAATAAGGAACCATTTATCCCATGGTACATTTTCTTCCGCGTGATTTTCACTTTACAAAACCAAATGTCATTGGCTTTGTTAAGAGATCAGAATAATCGGTGGTCTCACGATATATCGTGCGACCACCGATCTAATGCGACTTTATAATCAATATACGTTATTTTATCTCTGTGTCACGCTTAAAGTATCAAACAATTAAGAGATAAATTGTCCGGGGATCACGTTCAAGCCCGGTACGACGTTCAATCGAATTTTATCCCGTATCTTGAGCGACACGCGGTATGCAGTACGTTTGAGAGGGTAGTCGAAACACCTTGTTTGCGTAATTGTTTTGTCGACCGACAAGTCCTGCGGTCGGCGGTGCATTCGAAGTCGTCATGAATCGGCACGGCGATCGATAACGCATCGCGAAATAGGATTGGCTAACGAGGTGTTATTTGCTTACGGGTTCCCATGGATTTTCCGCGGAAACCACGGATGACTTTTCCAACGAGAGAAGCATTTCAATGTTCACGATCCGACGTAGGTAAAACGCGTACGAACGAACGAACAGATGAACGAACGAATGAACGAATGAACGAACGAACGAACGAACGAACGTACGAACGAACGAACGAGTAGGCGAGCACAACGGATTCGCGCAACCCTTCCGGAATACGCGATGGCCAGACGTTGAATTTTTCAGCCGCTGACTCGAAAGCTTCGCCATGCAAATTAATTAACGATTCGCTCCCAACCGACGATTAATTATGCCGACTGCCGGAAAAGGCGCTGCCACTCCGCCTTTAATCCCCGGCTACTTGCAACTCCGTTTGCCGCTCAAGAATCACGATTATTTGCTCGCGAGAGATGCTTGCACATCCAATTTCTTCGATGTACAATATCCCGATGCAATTAATATTTTCGTAACGCAATTAATATTTCCGCATGCTTCTCACACTTGTGAACTTATTATATTGAATATCGCCGACAATAATTTCTTTCATAATGAGGTCGTCGAGATTCCCGAGATTATAATCTCGCGCGCGAGAGAACGGCTGTGATCGGACGATATAAAATTCCACATAAATTTGTACTTTTCTTTTATGGCGGTAATGTAGAGCGGCGAAACTACGGGAGCCGGAGAGGCGAGGTGGCATAAATATTCCATCTTCGAGATTAAATACTCCGAGGTGAGCAGAATTATTACAGCAGGTTCGTCAGTGCCGCCGAGGCGCATCGCGCGGCCAGCTAAAGGCCGCGTATAATGCCGTGAGGACCAATGGAGAACGCCGACGGTAAATCCGGCGGAAGCTTTATCTATTCCGGGACAATATCGCGGAATGGCAGCGCCGGCGAAACACCGCGTAAGCTCTAACGTCGGCGGTGTGATGATGGTTGCCGCCGGTCGCGTCTCTACGCGGATAACACGTCTCCCCAAATGGGCCGGGAGCTTTCGAAGAGCGATCACCAGGATGTTAATTAATCCGTATATTCGCCGTGATCCTTCGGGGCCAAACCTGCGTATACGCAAGCGACACAAATAGAGTCGAAATTTTAGTGTCCTATTTTGGACATGAACTTTCTAACGTCAATATATTCCGAAGAATCGGTGTATGTGTGGTACACATGGAAACTGTACTTCTACTTAACGCCTCTGAAAACCAATTTTCTCAACCTTTTGGTACGCTAATTAATGGTCAAATCATACGACTGTTTTTCCTTCAAATTGAACAAAGACAGACTGTGTGATTTCACTGTCAGCTTACCAAGAAAAATCTGCTTTAAATGGCAGGAAATGCACAAAATGCCATTTGTAAGAGGCATGGGTTAAATAGAATCAAAAGAGGTTGCGAGGTTTCAGAGTATCAAAATAGGTGTTAAATGAAGGTTGAAGGGTAGGATAAAAGTTTCTACATACGGGTACGTTGAGAGAAGTGTATGAAGTTAGCACCCCACTTTTTGAAATTTATAATTTTGAAAGTTGTTCCAGATTCTGACTTTGTACCACATTGTTCCAAAGTGATATTGCTTCATTCGAAACGGTTTTCGAATAAAACAAAAAAAATGATTTTTTGAGCTGGCACTCCACTTTTCGAAAATCGAACATTCTGATACCGCAATAGATTGTTCTAGTTGTTCCAAACATTGTTCCAAAAGGACAAATCCGTAAGTTGAATTATAAGTACAAAAAATGAAAAAAAATGTTTTTGACCTGGCACCCCATTTTTTGAAAATAAAGCATTCCGATACCGATATAGATTGTTCTAGTTGTTCCAAACATTGTTCCAAAAGCACAAATCAATAAGTTTAATTATAAGCCCGAAAAATTAAAAAAAAGTTTTTTGACAAACAGTCTATCGGACCAAAAGTAAACTTATACTATCTTTCTTGTTCCAACCGAGATCTTTTTGTTCTGAGTTGTGCTAGGCTTAAGAATTATAGTTTTAGAGTATGAAACTCGTAGCGTCATCCGTTCTCCGAAAATTCGTAAAAAAATCGATTTGTACTCGACGTCAAGAGTAAACACATGCTTCCTTTCTTGTTCTAACCGAGATTTTTTTGTTCTGAGTTGTGCTAGGCTTAAGAATTATAGTTTTAGAGTATGAGACTCGTAGCGTCATCCGTTCTCCGAAAATTCGTAAAAAAATCGATTTGACAGCACCCGACGTCAAGAGAAAACACATGCTTCCTTTCTTGTTCCAACTGAGATCTTTTTGTTCTGAGTTATACTAGGCTTAAACGACGAAGCAATTTCACTTTATTTTGTCATGACATTTTATAATTATTTCCGCCAATTTTCCTGTAATAAAGATTAATTTTTGTAAGAAATCATCTTTTTTAAAATGTCTGTCAAATTGATTTTTTTACGAATTTTCGGAGAACGGATGACGCTACTAGTCTCATACTCTAAAACTATAATTCTTAAGCCTAGCACAACTCAGAACAAAAAGATCTCGGTTGGAACAAGAAAGGAAGCATGTGTTTACTCTTAACGTCGAGTACTGTCAAATCGATTTTTTTACGAATTTTCGGAGAACGAATGATCTTATGAGTCTCATACTCTAGAACTATAATTCTTAAGCCTAGAACAACTCAGAACAAAAAGATCTCGGTTGGAACAAGAAAGATAGTATAAGTTTACTCTTGGTCCGATAGACTGTTTGTCAAAAAACTTTTTTTTAATTTTTCGGGCTTATAATTAAACTTATTGATTTGTGCTTATGGAACAATGTTTGGAACAACTAGAACAATCTATATCGGTATCGGAATGCTTTATTTTCAAAAAATGGGGTGCCAGGTCAAAAACATTTTTTTTCATTTTTTGGACTTATAATTCAACTTACGGATTTGTCCTTTTGGAACAATGTTTGGAACAATTAGAACAATCTATTGCGGTATCAGAATGTTTGATTTTCGAAAAGTGGGGTGCCAGCTCAAAAAATAATTTTTTTTGTTTTATTCGAAAACCGTTTCGAATGAAGCAATATCACTTTGGAACAATGTGGTACAAAGTCAGAACAATTTGGAACAACTTTCAAAATTATAAATTTCAAAAAGTGGGGTGCCAACTTTATACACTCCGTTGAGAGGCGTCACCGACGCAAAGGCAAATTGCGCATACTGCGGCATGATCAATTCAAATTCATTAGAAAAATTTGGTGAAAACGTCGGCGGCGTATCACGCGTGATAAAAAACGGCAGAGCAATGTGCAACAGTACATTTTATGCGAGCGCGCGGAATGTAAGAGTTGCAATAAAAATGCGGGATTTGCGGATTAAAGATCAAATTTGTAGTTTCTTAAAATCTCACTTGATAGTCCGTTTAATGCTCATCAGAAGTGTGCTCGCGAATAAAAGAAGAATTCAGAGAGAAAGAGAGAGGGAGGAGAGAGAGAGGAACGAGCAATTCTTGCGATTGGTTCGCGTTAGTTGCACGTAGCGAAACACGTGCGGAAGATAGCGCGCGATCTATCACGGGAAACGGAAAACGAAGCAACAAACATCGCGCGGCGAGCAACGAAGCATGCGACGCAACGCACATGGTAGTCCCTAATGCAACCGACAGCGGAACACACGCTCGACACGTTTCGCGCTCGTTCCGCTCGACGAAAGAAAGAGAGGATGGAAGGAAAGGACAAGGAGGGAAAACGGGAAAGAGGGAAACGAAAAAAATCACGCGACTCCTTCGCCGGCGAAACGTTCGACGTTGTACGCACTATTCACCACCACCATCGCCGCTACCGCCGCCACCACCACCCTTTGCATCTCGCCGCCCTTCGCGTCACGAGGAACTCGCGTCGTTGCAACTCTCGGGCTGGATGAAAAATGCAATCCTCCCCTCCCCCCGTTCGCCCGCCCTTCCGCAATCGAGAATTCCGCCCGCGGAAACTTCGAAGACTTCGTTAACTCGGGTGAACGGCGAAAAAGCGAGTCTCGGGCGCGCGGATTCTTGCGCCACCGGCGGAAAACTTTCCGCGACGCCGCGGCTGCGCCCCCTTCCCCTCCGCCCCCCTGTCCCCAGCTCACTCCCGCGCGCCTCTCGTCCCGCGCCACTCGGATGCAGTTTGAATAATCGCGGAAAAATAATTGAAACGGAAGGCTCAATTTATGGCCGGACAGTCGCGCCGGTTCGAGTCCCGGGCGAAAAATTATGGGCGCTCCGCCGGCTGCACACACCCCGCGAGCCACCGGGATTTATCAAGGTGGAGCGGGGTGAATATTCCATTAGCGTCCGCGTCCATTCCTCCGAGCGGAGGATGCGTTTTTAATGGAGGATCGATCTGTGCGATTCGCGAGACTGCCGCGACGCGCCCCCGACATAATGATCACCGCGCGTATAACACGGAAGAGGTGTGATCGAGTTTATTTCGATGCGTTTTCTCACGCGGGACCGTCGTGCACGTCGGGGATGTTCTGAACGTCTGTTCAACGACGGCTGGAATCGAGTAAAGTAGCGGGTGCGCGTACACGAGCCGAATCCAAGTGATATACTGCGATTGAGCGCGTCGCGTTACGAAAGTCGCCCCCCTTCCTTAAAACTACCCCGTCGTAAATTACAATTATTATTCGCGGCATGATGACGACGATGCATCACGCTCGATACTTTTCGCAGACCATATGGACGCTTTTCGTATTTACGAGCCGTTTAATCGTTTCCGCCTGTCGACGGCTCTCCATGATATGGCGACGCGCGATTTGCTTGTAGCTGGCATATGTTGGCGTTTCGTTGCCGCGTTATCAGTACAAAAAATCGAGTGTCATTGGCCACCCTCAATCCCACGTTTGCTTTGTAATTTCGCGAGGAACGTCTAGGACGCAATGTCCCGTCTAGTTTTTTTTTATTTGATACGCGGAGAGAGAACGCTGCACTTACTGGCAGACTGATCGAACAGTCCTTGTTTTATTCTTTGCGAAGATAATCAAAGATTTACGTTGCGCTCGCTTTCTGACACACAGACAGCGAGTGTCACGCGCCGAATATAACAGTCTGCCGAGTTAATAAACTGACAGGGAAAATGTATCTAAAATATAAAAAATATCTCGATGGGCACTAACAATATATTTACTTAAATCTTAGTAAATTTTTCTGTTCAATAAGAATTAACAATTGTTTTCATGAAAAGCACACACAATAGTCTTAGGAGAATATGTATTTTTTATTTGAAGAAAATTTCTTC